ATATATATATATATATATATATATATATATATATATATATATATATATATATATATATATATATATATATATATATATATATATAATTTAATATAATCGACAACACAGTGAAACATTCGCGAATGCGTAAACGCGGCGACGCGTCGGTAAACTTATGGATTTCAGTTTTACGAAACGCGTCGAGGATTCGATAATTTTCGCATAACCTCGAGAACACGATCGCGATGTGAAGAGTCTCGATGTAAAACGATGATATAGTGTGGCCATTTTTTTCTCATGCATCATGGAAGTCAATGATGCATGTACGACGCACGAGAAAGAGAGAGTGGGAAATGATACGTGAGTTAAGGTCGTTTCGTGTAGAACACTGTTCAAGTTAGACCGAAGTCCTCCCCATCATTGGACACACTATGCTGCGTGACTAAAAAAGGAACTTGTACCTACTTGTGTATTAAGCATATACGCACGTTATGTTGTACAATATAAATAGTTTATTATTCGATATGCCATTTATATACTCTACGATATTGTTATTACTTGTTTATCATATGGGTACTCCCGTATATATCGCCATGACACGCGCCGCTGTTAAAATCAAAATTTTTCGCTTGAAAATCTCTCCTTCAAGAAGAAGTATTTGGCTTTCACACAAGTGTCAATTTTAGAAAAACGACTGTCGAACGTCTCTGATAAATATTTCAATTTCCAACAAGGATATAGAAACCACATTAGAAGACACTTGAAAGTTTCACTCTACCAGAACAAGATTTCGTCTTTTTAACGAATACAAAATCGAGACTGATTGCGAGTATCCATTCGCGCTTTTCGAGGGTAAAATTCTAACTTGAGTACAAAGTCGAATACGACGATTGCACGAACTATCACGGAATAATTAAATGATTATCACGGATTAATTAAATGTGCAATTCTGCTTGAGCGAGCGGCGTGTGTACTTGCGTATACATTACTGCGCGCTCGATTCGCGTTATCCTTCAATTATCGCATCTTTCACTTGTTATTGCGGAACGTGTACAGTCAGTTTTCTACCTATGACCCAACAATCAGTTATCGCGCGCACAGCTGTTGCATTTAATAACGTTTGTTTCTCAATATTTTAATCGTAACTATTAATTGCGTAACTACTTAATGTCTCGCGCTTTAGACGCATCATCGCCCCATGATATATCCGATAGTAAATCGTAGAAGTAATAGCTGGCAATTAGAGAAGTATGAACGGAGGAACGAAGAGAAAGGTACCAAAACGCATTTATATATATACACAAACACACATATATACACCGTAAGTGTAAGAGTCGCGATCGTAACCGATCGGAATCGACGTATCGCGAGCCTCTAGGACGACACTCGATTGTTCCGTATGTGCACCGATTCAGTCGCAGTAAAAACGCAGTGCCTTATTAGATGACCTTTGAAAAGGATTGGGGAAAGAGTGCTGAATATACACGACGTCTCCCTCGTTTAGTGTAAATAGCTGTCACGTATACTTCCTCATACACTTTCCTCTCGAGAGGCGACACCGCGACGATACACATGTCGCGTATAAAATGTAGATTTAGAGACTTGTCCAGTGAAAACCCCGACACACTCAACCCGGTGATTCTCAAGCTCGAACAAGGCGTATTGACAAAGATATTAAGTACTCTTCTCCTCAGCGCTCCTCTCTAGATACGACCAAGAGACATGTAAAATCGTTACAAGTACCACGTAAAGTAGCGCGACCCACGTTAATTAACGATCTAGTGAATGTGTAGGCACACAGTCGACGTTGTTCAGCCGTTTCCGCGGATTCGGAATTAGTTACAGCAGTATGAGAGCACACAAGGACGGAATCGCACACAATGGCGGAACGTTGAAACGCGAGGCGCATCCTAGATGTACGTATGTGTCGCCCCGTTAGTTCGTTAGATCTGTCGTAAATGATAATGACTTACGCGTCGTGTGATTTTTCGAGGGCGCACAGTCGTCGTTAGCCCGAAGAAAAAGAACAAAAATGATAAAATGATACATGAAGACGACGGCCGCATTTCATGTGTATGCGTAGATGTATATATATATAATTTTCACACCGTCGTCGCGCGAGTCACTGTCGCGTTCTTCCAATCACATATCCTCCAAGACAAAATGGCATATCCCTAAAGCATGGCACTGACGATCATGTAGGTGTACGACCGTGGTGCGTTTTTACGGCACGCGTTGCGATCCCTCGTTGAATATCTAATCCGAACCGCGACTTTTCTTTGACTTCGCGGTATTTCGTCGTATAACTTATCTCACGCGTAACGACGTCGGCTATCGATTACGATCCGCGTTGCCTTCCTCGTATCGATGAGCGTGTTGTTTCCGTTTCAACACGGACGCTGATGTATCGCACGACACTTCATCACGATCGACACCACGGGTCTCGACAGTCTTGCGGTCAGCCTCTTTGTAGAAAAAGTTTGTCGAGGAAGAAAAGGAATCGGAGAAGCAGGAAAACAAAAGGAGAAATCGCGATTCATATCCCACATGCGTTATATCGATAGAAGTATAGCTCGTCGCGTATGACAGTGCTATATCGTACGATCTTAGCAAATGTAATTGTAACTGTAAGTACCTTAGGTAACGAATAATATATACATATATATAATTTTAAAATAAAAGTAGATATAAATGAATGAGACGCTCTATATGATATTATTGTATGGACAATAATAATATATAAGGTCCTTAAATATACGATTACACGATCAGCAGGATTGTTATTTCGAGAAATTAACGAAGCTACGCAATATTTGTTCCAACTAACTTTTGATTATTCGCTAATAATGGTATATTTTCTTTTATTAAAATATTAATTTTAACTGTCAGTATGTTGTAAAAAATTGGTGGCTAAGTATCTTCAATATTTTAATCTTAAATGGAGTGAATTCGCGCAACAAATACAGATATAATTTACTAATATGTCCTCACATCGAATAAAATGTCTCCTTTTTTCTCATATTTAGTTTGTCGTTAAGAGAGTTTTTGCATGCTGGGGGGACATATCAGGAAATGTTTGTGTTGTTTCTCGGCCCTTATCCACTCGTATATGATATTATTGTATGGACAATAATAATATATGAGGTCCTTAAATATACGATTACAAGATTACACACACACACGTGCACACACATACAAAGAGAGAGAGACATATACACGTGCATACACGCATCTTTAACACGAAACCGACACCGCGCTGACCGAATCCTTTAACAAAATAACATTATCAAGAATGTAATCTTTAATGTTCTTAAAGTTGTAAGTTACATTTTGTCTGTAACTATCCAGATAGCACAGAGATGAATAGAAGTTTATAGAGAATTCATTTTAAAGAATATCTAAAGAATTAGAAAAATGAATATCTGAAGAATTTCTAAAGAAATATCCGAGTCTAATTTATTCCAAAGTATTCCTTGGAATTTTATTATAATGAATATTTCGCGAATTATTACTTGAGATACTATGAGAATTCGTGAGAAAATACTATTATTAACTAATTTTATTTACATTTTATGGTTACATTAGACAGATACCCTATCGCTTAAAATATAAGCGTTTATTTATATATTTATACATAAATTTAATTAATTTAATTAAATCTTATATGATAAGGTGGATTTTTTTTTAATTATACTCTTTTATAATTATTCAAAGTTTATAATATTTTATGTCTATTTAAGATTTTGTCTATTTAATAACAATTAACAATAAAAGTTCACTATAAAAATTTAAAGATAACAAAATGGAATGTGCAGGATTTTGTAGACCTCACTTCACTAGCTAAGGGTTAAATTAGCAATAAAAGTACGCGAAAAATATAATTTTACAAAATATAATTTTTATTAAAATTAAGTCATATTTTATTAAATCATATTGTCACAAATTATATTACTGCCTTAATAACAATATATATAAACAAAATGTAAGACGTTTATATCGATCGAAGAAGTGGTGTAGTACTTAAAGTAATGGATTCATTATCCAGAAGTGCGTCAGGTCCAAGTTCGAGTTTCTACCAGTTCTAATAAGAATTTTGAAATGTGATGTTAACATTTGGAATCAAGTAATATAAATTTTAAGTAAAATGAGCAAAGACTGATATTTATTTACGAATAGTTTCTGTTAGAAAAATACGTATGTGTAAAGAACTATAAAATATACATCTGTTGTTCATAAGTAATTCAAAATGAATAATTAAGAAGTTGTCAGAAATTTCAATTATAATGAATGTAACTTACATAGTCGTTCCTAAAGAATATTTTATACGAATTCTTAAAGAAAAATACTTTGGAAATACTTTAGGAATTTATTGTGCTATCTGGGTATTTAGTAAAGACGTCTTTTTAAATGTAACTTGCTCTCGGACCAGACAATTATGGCTCTCGAATGCCGTGCGAGGATACCACTTACGGATGCTGCGAGGATGGCGCTACGCCGGCTCACGGATGGAACAATGAGGGCTGCTGTTTATCGAGCACGTACAAGTGCTGTCCGGATAACGTGATGCCGGCGCGTGGCCCAAACTTCGACGGCTGCGCTTGCCAATACACGAGATTTGGCTGTTGCCCAGATAATTCAACGGCGGCGCGCGGACCGAACAACGAAGGCTGCGGCTGTCAATACACGCCTCATGGTTGTTGCCCAAACCAGTTCATCCCCGCTAGCGGACCCAACTTCGAGGGATGCCCGTGTTACACTTATCAGTTCGGATGTTGTCCCGACGGTGTCACCATTGCCAAGAGCGCCTATGGTCAAGGTAATTGCGCATCGATCGCGTTCGTCGTTCACTACTAAAATCGAATTTTGCCATGAATAATATGGACTTCAATTATTATTAGAATAACACATCTAGAATTTATGTATTTATATATTGTAGTATTACTATCACACTTAAACCGATTAAACCGAACATATCAAGATTGCAAAGTAAGCATTATCTAATGCTCTTAAAGTTATAAGTTACTTTTTATCTCTAACTATTTAATAAAGACATCTTTTTAAATATTACTTTAATAGTAACAGAATTATATTTCTTATATAATAGTAACAAATATAAGAGAAACTTTTATAGTTAGTTTGCAAATATAAGTAAAATATATATATATATATATGTCAGTGGCATTAAACTGACAAGAGAAAAAAATTCTTGAAAAGAAATCTTCAAAACTTGGTGAAAACAATACTAACTCTTGCATTTCTTGCAAGAATTCACTACTTCTTGACAAATAAACACGTAATGAGTAATTTTTCAAAATAGGAGGTAATAGCGACTAGTAATAATCAGTTTTTTAAAGAGATAATAAGTACCATTACATTATACTCATTACGTATCTGATTCAAAGTACATTACTGTTTGTATGCAAGGCACTTATAAACTAATTTTATGTGAATTCCCTTAACAGAGGCTTCTCTTACAAGTCTTTTCTATCTCCTAGTTAAGAAAAATTTTGTTTTTCTCTCTTTATAAAATTCAAGCTTTATTGTTCCAAAAAATTAAGTATTCAATCAATCATAAAAGTTAGTAAAAGACAATAAGAAAAAAAATGAAGTATAATAATTGGCAAACTATATGATTCGAAGGAATTTAATATAGAATTAAATCGAAAGTAGTAAAAGAGAATTATATGTGACAATCGATATATTCCTATATTTCGAATAAATAAATTGCACGAACTATCAAAGAGTATAGCTGTACTGCTTTGATAATCGCTGTAAAAGTAAGTAATACTTTATGATGCAATGTATCGCAGGTTGCGGATGCAAGAATACGGAATTCAATTGCTGTTTGGATGAAAGAACCCCGGCCAAGGGTCCGAACTTCGCCGGATGCACATGCGACGCGTCGCAGTTCGGATGCTGCGCAGACGGAATTGAAGAAGCTCAGGGAGAGAACTTTGAGGGTTGCCTCTCGGTGCCTTCCATGCCTGGTGCTGCATGCAGATTGCCGAAGGACAGGGGTTCCTGCCGCGACTTTACGGTCAAATGGTTCTACGAAACCGATTACGGTGGTTGTTCGAGATTTTGGTATGGAGGCTGCGAGGGTAACGAAAATCGTTTCAAAACGCAAGAGGAGTGCAAAGAAGTTTGCATTCAGCCGAAAGGAAAAGGTAACTTCTTATGTTACTTATTTTAAAAAGAAACAAGTAAAAGAGAAAAATAGAGATTTTATGAATGAGTTTATTATAAATAGGATTATGTACAATTTTTTATGATTATATATATTTTATATTTCTTTTATTAAATCAGCTAATTTTTTATTCCCTTTACAGCTGCTTGTTTCTTGCCGAAGATTGTCGGTCCTTGTGAAGGCTTTCATTCTAGATGGTACTATGACGCCGACAGGAAAGAATGCAGTCAATTCGTTTATGGAGGTTGTCTCGGTAATGCTAATAAGTTCAAAACTAGGGAAGAGTGTGAAGAACTTTGTGTCACACCTGATGACGTCGGTAAGAAACTGCTCTTGTTAACGCGAAGTTAATATTTATGTATATTGGAACAAAGCTGAGATTCGCAACTCAAAATTTGCAAGATTAAGAATGAGAAGCAATGTATAAGAATTGACATTCAAACACCTCGAAAATATAACTAATTATTGATTATTCTTTTTATAGCTGTTTATCTAAATTATTGATAATATTTAATATTTAATAGCTTGTTGTTAAAAGAAAGATAGTTAGTAAACATAAAATAAAAATAGTACGACACTTAACGACGAAAATTAAAATTTCATTTTGTTTGGAATTAATCGTTTAAACTTCGTCTAGATCCATGCAAGCAGCCGAAAAAAACCGGTCCTTGCACCGGCAATTTCACAAGATGGTACTTCAATGCAGAGTTGCAGAATTGCGAACAGTTCGTATATGGTGGCTGCAAAGCTAACGGCAACAACTACCCTACGGAAGTTGCTTGTCATCAGCAATGCTTACAGCCAGGTCGAAGAAGAGGTACGTTTCCTTCTCAATGCTTTTTTCGCTTTCTTTATGTGCGTTATAAAGAGATTTCCTGTATTTTATTTCCATGAATTATTTATTAATTTATCTGCACGAGGAAAGAAGTAGCTATTCTAATAATATTTACATTAACTATACTACATCTGGGAGTTAATCAAATTTAATAATAGTAGTATTTATAAGTATATGGATTGCTGGCGATATCTGTCAATTTTATTCTTTTAATATTAACGATTAACTTTATCGAAGACCGTTCGAACATAACCGATAACATGTCTAACGTGGTAACGTTATCTCCCATATAGCACAGATCTTGCAGCAACATTGCAGCAACATTGCCGCAACATTGCGGCAACACTGCTGCAACTTTTAACATTACTGCAACGTTGCAGCAATATTGGTACAAGATCTGTGCTGTATGAGGTAGTAACGTATGAGGTAGTAACGCATATTAACCCTTTCAATCAGAAAATATTTCAATTAACCGTCGTATTTTAGATAATATATCTCGAAACAATCCCATTACGTAAGTGAATATAAATTTAACTGAAGTTAAAAAAATACTAATTTAACACAGAATTTTATAAAATTATAAAAATTTGGCAGGACGAGAAAGTGATTGAAAATATGTGAGAAAATCATCATAATTCCTCGTTTTTGTGTGAGTAAAAATAAACTCATCTCAGTCACCATGCGCATATTTTTTTAGGACAAATGAACGACAATAAACGTGTTTCAAGTAATTTGAAACTTTTGGAAGTATTTTCACTTGTGTGAACTTGGCACACCATATTTAAAAATGTGACATTTTTTTTAGAGTTCTGATACTCTCTTGAAAAGTTTTAGAGCTCTATGCAACAATTTTAAATAGTTCCGGTCATTAAATACAAAAAAATAAACTTTCAAAAAAAGGTGCGCTAATTCACGCAGCGCACCTAATCAGTAAAATTAACTATTTCTTTAGAGTTCCGGTTTGTTTTACAATAGTTCTAGAGTTCTATATCATATATAACAATAGTTTTAAAGAAATAGTTGATTTTACTGAT